GAAAATTTGTAATGATTATGATAATTTGCTCATGATGCAAAGAAATTTGTTATGTACACAAGAAATTGCCTACAGATGGCCACAGAGAATAAACAATGAATGTGCTAACTCGCAGAGGAAGGCTCCTAATGAATGTTCTAAACTTGCTGAGAGGCTTCTAATGAATGCACTTAATGCAGCCCGCTTATGAATAAAATGATGAATATGATGACATGTTTATGAGCAAAACATGGAGAATATGCAACAAATGTAACAGCCCCCCTACAATCGATGCCAATCAACTAGTAGACAAATACGACAATCCCCTACGAACAACGATAGTGGGCATAGCCTGCTTTTGAGCAACAACAGTGGATATCATATAAATGTGATGGATTCCATATGAACTTGTATGTACACATAACACACCGTCTATGATCAAGGGAAAAAGATCTGCAATGAATGCAGGCACCTACGAGCAAGAAGAAAGGATTTGTTATGAGCACAACAGTCCACCCATGAGTCAAGATAGTAAACTTGTCATGAATATAGCTTTCCTGTGAATAGAAAGCACAAACTTGTGATGTACACAATGCTCCACCTACAAGCAACACTAGAAAACCTGTTGTACATATGATAGCCTACCTACAGATTAAAGTAGTAGATTGCCCATGGGTAGAAAGCATAAACTTGTGATGCACGCAGTTGCCTCATCCACAAGCAATGGTGAGGGATGTTACACTGAACACAATTCACCTGCATACAACAACTGGTGACTCCCGAATGTTTACCGCTAGCCCACAAGCAATCTTAACAAAATTTGCATTACACGACAGCTTGCTTGTAAGAAGTAACGAGTGACCCGTACCACAATGCTATGATTTCCTTGTGAGCAGAAGCAAGAGATTTTGTAGTGCACACTATAGTTTACCTGTGAGCAGAAGCAGGGAGCTCATAGTGCCAAACAATTATACCAAATGAATTGGCTTACTTACAACTGATAATGGGGGACTCATGACAAGCAGTACAGCTCACTTGTAAGTAGAAGCATGCTCCTACAAGTTAGGTTGGAGAAAATGATTCGCAGAAGATGAAATGAACTAAATAAAATCACCTATACACGATGAATGAAACCTAACGCACTTCTAAATTATGCCACCGGATCCGCAACATTCATACAAATGGATAGAGGCATTTGCAGGCCCTTAAATATAATTGCACGCATTTTTCAACATAATCATTTATGCAATTGATCATATTGAGAATATACATATGCATTATGCAATTGCTTTGGAAGGAATTAAAGCGCACAACACAAATACATAATAAGCGCATGCAGTAAGTTATTATTATTCTCACCTTGCATACAAATGCACTAAGAGCATATACATTACTGTATGCGAAACACATTATGTAATGCATGTTATTCAACATGCAAAGTACGTGACGTCGTAACAGTGCGTTACATTAATATGCAATCACATTATGCACATATGTGTTGCAATATGTAGAGAATGTTATACAAGCATGCCATACAACATGAAAAATGCATCATATCATATTAACACATTATACTGACTTGCAAATATACTATACACTACGTTAGTGCTTTAAGCCACGACGCAACGTACATAAAATATCATGCAAGCACGTTAAGTAGTGCCCAAATGCATGCATCAACATACATGTGAACATACAAATACATATGCAAGTATGTTAACATGTAGATGAATACATGAGTATGTATGTGAACATGCAAATATGTCATACACATCCAGTGCATTGCATACATACAGCCACCATATAAATGCATTATGCGAATGCACTCAAAAGCACGTACTTGCATGGGCTCCGACGAGCGTGATGTACATACACACGTGACACCTGAGGATGCTGCACGGGTCAAAAATATGAACTCGAGTTCAAGTCCGATTCTTCTCTTGAATGGATAAGAATTGACATGACTTGAACCACCGTGCCCCTGACCACCGAACAAATACACGGTTGTAGTGCAAACCAAAGTATTTATTTTATATATTAATATTAGGCCTTCAAGGTCTCTTACAACGAAAATTCACATATTAAAATGAATATCGCGGGTTCTGATATCTACATGATAACTCCAAAAATTAGGAGTTGGACTCTATCTTATGTTTGCAAGCAAACATAGCTGACAAGATCCAATTAATGAAATAATAATACTCATAAATAATCCCATATGATTGCCGTGTTGAAAGCTAATCTCAATCGGTGGGGATCATACTTTTTCAATGCCCCCAAATCTTAAAAACAATCATTAAGGGGCTTTAATTTCATTGAAAGTTCAAAACTAAAAAAGCACAAAAAATTAAGATATTTTAGATGAAATAAATCACCCAAACACATATAAAAATAATCCATCCATCCTTCACAATAGTTTGTCGAGGTGGATAAATTTGAAAATCAGTTCAACTCACAAAGAGCGAATTTCCAGTCGATACTATAACTAAGATTCATTCACAAACCATCTCATGCCAGTAAGGACATGTCATGTGTTCTCTAACCAGTTGTTTTATTGCCAAATGACATCACAAATAAACAGTTATGACTAGGGTCCTCTGACGGCATGATTTTGCTGCAAAGTAGTACCACTAAATTATGATCATGACCAGAGCCCATATGTTTCTCAATGACTCTAAATCATTGAGTAATGAATGAATATGATATAATTGTTAAGGCATAAAGCCCTTTGTTAGCTAAGGTGTACTCAAATATGTCCCCTTAAGCAAACAATCACACTAAGTTTACAAGATACCCTTAAACAAAACAACCAATAGCTGCCGATAAGGATCCTTTGGTCAAGTTAGGTCGACTATCTCCGCTGACTAACTAGAATATGGACCATGATGACCCAGGACGACGGAATCGTACGATCTTGATCGGGTTCATCGTCATTCCCCCCACCATCCGCTTTAAGCCGCTGTGATAAATTTCAATTTTTAATATTTAATTTTGCTGCTACTATATGCTTGATGTTACGTATCTATTCAACGACTAGCCTTAATCGGAAGTTCTCTCTCGTTATTGGAATGGGTAATTAACTATAGGGGCTTGGTATACGAAACCTGAACTCAGATCATAAAGTCCTCGTAAAAGGAGGGCGAAATCTCTGGATAATGTCTTATTTAAAACCCAATCTGCCTTTTAAAAATTTACCCCGGATCCTAAACTCCTTAAGACTCTCCTTGCCGACAAACGAAAAAGAAAGGGATCGCGAAGAGGCCGGGACTAGAATTTTCGGAGCCCACCCCATGTTACCCTTATTTTAGCCACATCATCATCATCAATCATTTTGGTTTGGCTTTATTAATTCTCATTTTCATTCCTTTTAAGTACTTCTTGAGGTTTTAAATCTATTTATGCGCTGCACATGGAGTCTGTCCTACTTTTTAAATGCCAATTGTTAGTTAGATATTTATATGTATACTTGCTTCATGACAGAATATTTGTTGTGGTAGAGTAAGAGAATTTAATGTCTTAGCATTATACAAAGGTTTAGTGTATTATACATAGATAAAAGATGAGTTGTAGTTTTTCCATGAAAACTTCAAAAAATGAAATTTGGAAACTTCAAAAAGGGAAAATAATGGAATGACTAGTATTTGTCATTAGTTACAAATGATATCCTTTTGCATGATTCAGAAGGTTGTTGATGAAAATATAAAATGTACATAAAATGTATTTTGGGGTGAAAATTGGAAGTCTTGTGGCATGATAGTTGTCTTCAAAAATCATTTGCTATTTATTTGATTGCTCTCATTCGAGGTGGAGAGGTTAGAGACCAATAAGTCCAACATAATTTGGGCGGTGACATTGAAAGTGAAAGTTGGTGTTGATGGCATGCATTGGCTTTAAGCCCCTATTGTATGTAAAATTGAGATGGGACATCATGAAGTACCTTAAATGGTGCAATTGAGATGATTCTCCTATGATTGAATGCGTTATATAAAGATGAGATAGATAGAATAAGATAATATTATTATTTTTTCTATTGAAGTTATTGCTGCACAAAAAATATTTTATCATCTTTGAATAAAAATCTGCCAATTGATTTAATATTGATTTATCTATCATGACAAGAATGCATATTTTTCTCTAAATTTCTTTAATGTTATTGTAATTTAGAGATGTAATATATCCACTAAGTTATATTGATAACTTAGTCTTGTATTTAATTTATATTTTTAGGATAAGAGCTTGAAAAGTAAATTAGTGAGAGAAGAGAATGTGTATATCATTGATATGACACTATAAGAGAACGATATTTATACTATAAGTGATATACTTTTGGTTTAGAATGAATTTTATTGATTAGTAGCTCTTTCAATATATCGGAAGTTGTTATAAAAAAAAATTGAACCATTGTTTTGATATTAGTAAATTAAATTTTTTAAAAAATTGTCTTTTCTTGACTTGGTATTTCAAGCCCTCAAGCTTGGTCGTGCCACAATTTTTTGTTGTACTCCGGCTTTTGATTCTTTGTTTTCCCGTGTCCACGATATGGTAGCTGGAGCTTTTTTGATGGCATAATGAATGAACTGCTGGAGCCGTGCAGCTCAACACTGAAGACACACTTTAACTAGCTGTTTCTTTATTGTTTTCATGGCTTATACTTTATGCAACTCTATTTTTGGTAGCAGGGGAGATCCCATAATAGGAGGAATGGTGTGATTCCTGAAGGAGTTGATATGTATGAAAAAGCTAATAAAGTGGATGTTGTATTGGATCACGATAGTTCTCTTGGAGAGTTTACTCTTGGAATTGAGTAGTTTAGTTTAGTTGATGATATTTTGGGATGAAATTATTAATCAAAGTTGCGAGTCTTGCCATAATGATTGAGAGGAGATGGTGAAAGGAGTGTGGTCCATTCTTTTTTTTATAAAGAGTTTTATTTTGGCTCCATTTCTGTGTTATGGATGCTGTAAATTTGTATGATAATATTGTCTATTTCATTATTTTAATCATGCTATGATTTGTTTCAGATGAGGTGGAGCCTAAGAGTGATGTTGAGGTCATAGCAATGCAGTTGTTGTTGTTGTTGTTGTAATGATGATAAGTGAAGGTTGATGCGAACTTACAGATCTCTGGCTACTTGCATATTATTAGCAGTTTGACACTTGGATCTTATTTGCCAAAAGGCCAAAATATTTTTTTTAAAAAAAGGTATAATTAGCAGTTTTCAATAATAATTTTGTTTTAGAGTCCTTTATGTTGCTAATTTGAAATGCAATGTTGATTATACGGATCACATGCAGAGTACATTAAGAGCATTTGCCGCCTATAAAGTTGAAATTATTAAGCGTGCAAAAGCAAAACAAGTCTGAGCATCGGCTGGGCCACATTGCTGTTTTCGTGGAGATTGCTTCTTCAACTGGGAAACGTAACTTCTTTTGATGCAACAATGCATTTGGTCAGCATCTCCTTCTTCTTCTTCTTCTTCTACTTCTTTTTTTCAACATTTTTAAGTGCCGTAATATAAAATTAATATTTGATTATATAAATATACAAAACTATGTGGTATGTATGTAAATCTCATTAAAAAAATATTAATTTTTTTTTATTCAACATGCCATTTTTTTGACATTTTTGGGTATGCTTTTGTTATTATATATATATATATATATATATAAAATTCTAAAGCTATATCATAAACGTCTCAAAATTAACATATTGTCTCATTTTCAAGTGCCCAAGCCTTTGCTAGTCAAACAATCCTCTTACAAAGGATGACCAAAAGTAGTTTAAAAAAAAATATAAATTACATATTGATATGTTCTCTATCACAATCAATTAATATTATATTTATTCGACATACATATTAGATCCCATGGCACTCAGCTCCCATAATCCGGCCAGCATGCTACCCTCATCGCTCGGTGTTGGAAACTCGGGCCACCCCTCTTCCTCCACAACGTCGTTGCAGCAGCCAGGAACAGGCGGCAATGAGAACTTGCTATTGTCGTTCGAAGAGGTTAACGTAGTGTGGGCATTTGAGATTGCACGCGAGGAGTCAACGGCAGTCCTGATTCTTTCAAGGAGGCGGGGCATCCATTGCTGGTTTGCATGTTTTTGCACCCTTGTCCTCCAATAATTCTTTATTTCGTTATCTGTGCGGCCAGGAAGATGTTGCGCGATCTTTGACCAACTGATCGATCATGTTAAATTTCACTATTAATAGAATATCATTATTTAAATACTCATGGAGTTTTAAATTACTTATATATATAGCATCATAATTTGAAATGATTTATTTGAAATAAATTTGTTGATTAGTTTAGGGTTTAGCTAAATAAACAACAAATCAGCATGAAATCTTGAAACCAAAGAAAAAGTAATTAATATGTAGAAAAGAAAATTACCGGTTTCCCCAACGTGAATGGAGTTCAAGTATGAGGAACTGCTCCTCTGCAGTTATGTTACCGCGGCGTACATCTGGCCGGAGATAGTTCAGCCAGCGGAGTCGGCAGCTCTTCCCTGTCCTCTTTAGTCCTGAACGTTTATTTATATATATATACAGATGCATGCAGCTGAAACTGAGCAACGTAGACGCTGCAGTGCTTAAATAAATAATGCATAAATTTTCTAAATATACATTACCTGCGCATTTGGCGAGGGAATTCCAGCGGCCTTCACCATGTTTAGAGATGTAGTTGGTGAGGATGAGGTCTTCTTCCACAGTCCATGGCCCTCTCCTCAACTCCTCCTCCACACTACTTTTCTGCTTCCCGGTCTCCATATATATTAACTTTGTGGGTTAATTATAAGCTCTATTATTGAGCTTTTAGAACTAGTAAGGACAGCGAGAGAGAGAGAGAGAGAGAGTTGAAACAAGCTACTTTGGAAAACTAGCTTGGCTTCATATAGGAGATCGAGGAATTAACATATAAGAGGAGCTAGGAGCAAGTAGCTAGCTAGGCAGGAGGATATGGGAGAGATAAAATTGCAGCTGTACTATATAATCCTCAAAGTCTTTGAGAAGTGAATTGTGAATTCATGTGGAGAAGTTGAGAGTTTGGAAGTCCAACTTTGCCTTCTTTCCTCCTCTGCGGCTCTATTCCTCCGGATCACTTAATTGTGCCTGCAAGCTTTCCACTCAAGAATCCACTAGTGCTCACTTTTTTCTCGAGTTGCTTCTGTACTCGTCCTTCTTACACTTTTGTCTTACTAACGCGGAGAAATGCGGATCCATGACTGTCTCTTTCCATAGGGGTGGACTGACTTAGATCAAGATTCAAGGGGGGGTTATCCATTAATCCCGACTTCCTGCTGGCACATGTTAAAATACACAGCTCATAATTGTAGTTAACAGAAGAGGGAACTGTTCCCACTTTTCTATAGTTAATATTGTTTTGGTATTTGTTCTTTGCATTTAATTTTGATTATGAAGATTAAAATAAATCTTGTTGATTACATTGTTAGTTGTTGACTTGTTGTTGCCATACACAATAAGATTAATCATAAATGTAATTTTCTTTTATATTTGCTATAGCATGCTTTAAATGCATAAAATGCAAACAAGGGCTATTGTGACAGATGCGGCCAATGTTAATGATAAACAACGGCAAGTGGCAATATTATAATATATAAGAATCTCAAGTTGGCTCAATCTGTCAATTTTTTCTTTTAAATTTTGTATTTCTTTTGCTTCATTTGAAACACAAAATAATTGAAAAAATAGAAAATTGAATACAATATTCGATTAATGTAGTTGACCAAATAAATCCTTAGAAGGAAAAGAGAGAGAATTAAAAAATGGGATTGAGAATAAGGGCATGTATTAATGAGCAATTGTGATAGAAGATGCTGATAACATGTGGAGTTTTAGCATTTCAAATTTTATTCTTCATAAATTCTCTAAAATTAAATGGGCAAAGGGCTCTACAAACATGATTGCAATAGATTGACAGCTCCTTGGAAAAGAGGGATGCGATTGTAGCATCAGCTTTTTTTTTTATATATATATTCTTTTTTTTTTTTTTTTATTTCTTATCAGAAACAAATATATATATATATATATAACGTCGGTGCCAAACACAAAAGTGTTATACAAATAAATGAATATAAAAATATTACGTAATTTTGAGTCTAGCATATTTTAAAAGCTCTTTCAAAAAAATTATTTCTACGACACTTCCAACGAATAAGGAAAGCTCAACTTTCTCACACGGGAAAAATTATTAGGTGCGGAGTGTGTACCATCCGTACAAATATGCCAACCGTACCCAACGGCACCGAGTGCCGGTACCTAGCGCGGAATAAGACTTGTGGGAATTGTTCTCCCCGGCCGCACTGTGCACCTAATAATCTCTTCTCATATGGTCCCCCCTTCCCTCTCATAAAAAATAAAAAAAAATCCTCACACGTGTTTAACGTGTTCTCCACCCATTCCTAACACCCGCGCCGAAGAGAAGCGGGGCCGGGGCCGGGGCCTGGGCTAGGGTTTCTCCGACTGGCAAGGGAGGAAAGGTGGGGCCCCACACTTCGTCTTCCCCATCTCGTCCTAACCTTCCAGTTCTATTGCCATCTCCCTTCCAGCTTCTCTGCGCGACGCTTGGTGTGTGAGATTTCTATATTATTGGAACCATGAGACCAATGTTTAGGGTTTAGGAAAAACCCACTAGCTCGGAACCTCCACTGCCACCTAGTCATCTTCCTTCAGCATCTCTTCTGTTCCAACTGCCCAAAATATGCCATTCAATGGATCTTTTACTCAGCAGCAATCAGTTCAGCAAAATTCTCACTAGCCACACCATGTGCAACAACAATAGCAGAATCAGCGACAGTTAAAAATTCAGCAATCAGTTGAGCAGATGACGCTCCAGCAGTTACAACAACTGCTGTCAGTAAAAAATCAACAAGCCATGCAGAGTTCACCGCAGCCTTGTCAGCTGTACTCGCAGATTCAGCAACTCCCATATCAGCACATTTCCTACATGCAGGGAAAGCTAATGCCACGCCTGCAAAGTCAATTTCGATATCAACCCGGTCAGCAAACACAAGCATTTCAGTTTTCATATCAGCATAGGCAGGGCAGCGGTTGCCAGGACCTTCAACCTTGCATCATTTGTCAGGGAAGAAGACTCAGGAGCCGCCAATTGGGCAACATCTTCAAGGGTCACAGCCTTCACAGGATCTGGGCAAACGCTTACACGTTTCTCATGCCACAAATGAACATGGACATAACACTCAGAGTCAACAAACTGTACAGCAACAGGGGATTCAGATGCATGCACTGCAAATTGTGAAACAGCAGGAGATGCTCAACAAGGGCATCGATCTGCGTAGCGGCTGTCACAAGAAATTAGGTTTCCAGGACTGAGGAATGCTGATCTTCAAGAGGGCAAGCTAGCTGGTTTTCCTCCATCAGTGCACCAAAAGGCTGGTAACCATTAGTTTTCAGGTTTAACTCCACAAGTTCGGATCCCACAACCTGGAGTTAATATAATTCAACCATACCTGCATCATCAGCTTGATAGACCATCTCTTGTTAGTTCACGACCTGCTAGAAAAAGTCAATAACAGCAGGCGAGCTTAAAATGTGGCAATAATCAAAGTAAAGCTGGAATCCAAATGTTACCTAATCAAATGGGTCATTCTATGGTTCATGCGCCTATGGTTTAAAAACTGGATTTGATGAAGATCAACATGAAAGAGGAGGGTCTCAATTTTATTCTTCTGGTAGACCTGAGGGGCCAATGATGCATCCAATACGGCCTAAGCTCGCTCCACTTACAATTGCTCAAAAACAATAGGTTTTAGCTTCTTTGCAATGCCCTGGGATTGCACTAGTTGTTGAATTTAGATACTTCTAGTAGTGCTAGGATGCTTGCTAGCTTTGAAATGCATTAAACATATATTCTCAGTGAACATTTAGATCTATATATTAAATTTCTTAATTCTTCTTTTATCATTTCTTGATTTTACTGCAACATTGAAATGCTGATTAAGGCTCTGCGCGCCTCTGAAAGGCATTATGAAATACAGCAATCGATGTTCCTGTATGTTATATTGGTATGCTATCAAATTTGAGCCCATTATTATGTTTCAAGTGGTCATAACTCTTTTAGGTTCCATGATCACGGCAATTATTAACTGTCATTTTTTAATATTTTTTCCCATGATCCTTTTAAGCATTTATTATTTTCTTCAGAAGAAAGAAGTCCACGTGATTAATTCATTCTTTGTTGCAATGGTTGCTTTTTTACAAATATTATAAATTCTCATCAAATTATTCTAACATGATTGTAGATCCTTACTGATACCTTCTATGTCTTAGCTTGCTTTACTTGATGGCTAAATCAAATTCTTAATTTGAGATGTTTTTGTTCTTGAAATAAACAACCAAAATAGGAAGCAATGAACAATAATTCACTCTTTAATTATATTTTTTATGTTGTGATACATGCAACTTCTTAGTTGCTCAACTTATGTATTAACATGCACGTCTCGTCACGTCCATATTCAAATTATGTGCTTTCTTGATTGCTTTATTGCTTCTTTTGGATGTTATTTTAACTGGTAAACCCTACCAGTTACATTTTGCAACTTATATATTTTGTGAAATCTATTTCCAAATGTGGGCTCCAAAAATTTGCGCTCTGGCCTCTCTGTTCGAGTTGAGCTCGCGGCTTCGACGGAGGTTGAGGGGACGACGTAGCTCATGACGACATAGCACGGGGTGACGCTTGATGACGGAGGTCGGAATGGAACTCGATGAGCTGCTCGACGTGGGACGAGTCGAGCTCGAGCTTGATATTTGGCAGTCGAGCTCAACTCGAACAGCCCCTAGTTCGAGCTCGACTCAACTCGACTCGTTTGCACCCCTAATCATCGTTTGACCCTTCAAGTGTAGCGTTGCATTGATTAAATATTCTTATGAACAAGAAGATAAAATCTATAAGAATAATCAGAGTCTTTTCATGATTTTAAATGGTCCATATTTAATGGGGTTTAACTTCTCTTTTCTTTTAAACCCGCCTTTCTTAGATGCAAGCACACCTTGTCTCTTTCCTGAAAAACGTTGGTGATACTATGCTTTTTCATAACAGTTGTTGTACTTGTCTTGATGGTTGTCTCCACCTCTTATTAACCCAGGGCTCTAATTTGAACTTTGATCTTGATGATAGAAAAAATTGAACTAAAAAAAAAAAAAATGAATTGGGAATTTTCCCAGCTAATAACTTTAGATTTTTGAAGCGAATTATATGTATGAACCTTGGGAAACTTTCAGCAGGTATTGCAATTGATTAGGCGTTGCATACATATCTTCATCCTGCTTGCTCTTACCTAGATCTCCGACCTAATTGAAAATCTAAACACAAAGACTGGGGAGAACTCAGGTGTCTAGTAATTTTTTCATTGGTAGGATGTTTACACATTGTCTTCGTAATCAAATATGCTTTTTTTTCTTCTTTTAATGAGAATTCAATTGTCATTTAATAAAGTTTTGTTTGTATCACAGAAATGTTTCAGATTTTCCTGAGAAGCTTATGTTTGTTTGGGAATCCCCATAAGATAAATTGTCAAAAAGTGCGAAGAGCATTTGGTCATTAGTCAATTTTACATTATTACATATACAGAGCCAATGATTCTTGAAATGTAAACCCTAAGCTTAATTTATTACACATGCAGCTTATGAAAAAGTTTATTGTAAATTTAGGGTTTAGGGAAACAACAAATGATTTGTACTTCACACAGTTCCTTGAAATAAATAATAGAATCTGATCATGAACTCTTCTGTTTTTGTTAGAGCTGATGTTTTTGCGCGGAATTCCTCCAAGGCCTTATTTGGTACGTTATTTGATATAGAAAATGAAAAAATTTCACTGAAATTTCAAATGATGAAGCATTGAGCCATGATACAAAGGAAAGAAGAAATATGCTATAAATCTCTTACGATAATGATGAGGCAAATTATCATGTGAAATGATCTCCAGCAGTTTGGCTACGCATGCTCATGCTCTGATTTCTTGAGGAGGGAGGGAAGATACCATTTTAATTGAATAGAATCTGCATGTGATCATCATCAGAATATCAGAACGTCAATGATGATCATAACTATTATAAAGTCAATAGACTAACATGGCTCTCATGTGCTTTGAATTTGTACAAAATAATCACAACTTTTAGTAAACCAGCAAAGCTCAATGGCCATTTTAAGTTGACTCCCTCTTAAAGGCTAGGCTAGGATATAAGCCTCAACATGGAGTCATTAAGTTTGGCATGTTATAAAGAGAGAAAGAGAGAGAGGGAGAAGGAGAAGCTACTGAATAATTATTCCTTGCTATAGGTCAGCTATAAATAGTAGCTTAGCACCAACTTCTTATTTCTTCTTTTTTTTGGGACATTTAGGTCAATTAAGGCAAACTCACACACACAACGCATACACATAGAATCGAACTTTGGACCTCTTAGTTGGAAGCCTAAGCTCTCAACCAATAGGCCAAGGAGAGTTGTGTACTTCTTACTTCTTCACAGTTCAACATATTTACTTGTCTTTTCAGATATTATTTTGCATTTTATATTCATCCTAGAAGCTGGTAAAAAATTATCAGCTCCTTGGCCAAGCTATTTTTCCCCATGATCACCCCTTGTCCTATTTGGACCACCCTTTTTAGATTCTAGATGTCACAAGACATACATCCTCAAATGATTAATTATCAACATAATTACTTGTCGAGCGGCTCGAGTGCGAAAGTAAAACCATGAAAGCTGAAGGAGGAAGGTCAAATCATCAGGGTAGGCTCGGATGGGCGCGGACTTGCTCAACTCATAGTGATAGTTACATCACTTGAACCAAAGAAAAGGACCACTTTCTCCATGCTCTTCTCAGCCAATAATGTTGTTGTCCTTTTTATTAGCATTAGTCACTACACTAGCTTATTGCACATTTTGTGGGCCAATCCATTTTCATCCAGGTTGCACCGCTTAGTTTGATGAAGGGTCAAGTCACATGTTTACCTCAAGCCATTGTTGGCTTTTAGATTCATTTCTCTTGATCACATATAATCCTTTTTTATGTTTTAAAATATATGTGATTGGGTCGACGCCGATTTGATGAGTATTTTATTTGCATTTGAATCTTCCATGCATGTATTCGTTGCGCATTAAAATCTTTTGACTGAGACCTTATTTTGGGAAAAAGGCTGTACCAAGAGTCCAGCTCATTGAGATCGATTAAATGAGCTTATTTGTATTTGAATTGTGTATCATTTGATACATGTCGAGGAGAGAACATAATGAGCTTTTTCTTAATGCATTAAATAATGAAAATAAAGTAAAATCACATCAAAAAAATCATATAACAATTAAAGCTCAATTTTAATGAATAAAATCTATTATTTTAAAACTTGTAGGGATCACTCACATTTAATAACTATGCTAAGTCAAGGCCACCCACCTACCAGTGGCATCTTCGATCGAGCAACAACAATGTGGCTCTTATCTCGTATCCACAGATTTGAGTAAGCTGTATATAACATGCATGTTAGTTTCATTTTTCAATCTATCTAGCACATATATATATATATATATATA